TATCCTCGGTGGGAGTGATGACTTAAGAGTGCGAGGGTATAGTGACACAAGTTTTCAGACTGATTGGGATAATTTTCGGTCGTAGTAATGCTGGGTCTTTACCCTGAAGGGAGGAGCGGTGACTTGGAAAAGTTCCAAGCAGGAGACTGTAGTTTATTTAACATGTGAATCAGAGTACACAGCAGCGAGCGAAGCGTCGAATGAGGCAATATGGCTAAAGAACTTCATCGGAGACCTTGGATTTGTATCGACCATAAAGTAGCCTATGGAGATTTTTTGTGATAACGAAGGTGCAGTTGCTTAACCAAGGAACCGAGGGATCATGGTAGATTAAGGCAAATCGACAAAAATATCACTTTATTAGACATCAGGTAGAAGAGGGACCCCTTGTAGTGAAGAGGGTATCGTTAGAGGATAACCCAGTAGATCCCCTTACGAAGGGACTGAGTAGGGTTAAGCACTTACAGCATGGTAGAAGCATTGGGCTAAAGGACGATATTAGTTTTAGTGATTAGATAGCCTTAGAAACTTGTAATAGATAAATTGTAATTGAAATTTGATGATTAAAATAAATGAGCATTATTTATGAGTAAAGTTACTGTCGTGTGGTAATTATTTACTATTGTTTCACTTTGCATGTTTTGACTTCCTAAATAATAAGATTATTTAAACTATCCACAGTCGTTCATACGTTGGAAGAAGGTATGAAAGAAGACTGTCATGAAATGTCTTGTAGATTGTCTAAGTGTTTAGACATAGCAAAAGTTTGTTGCAACGTTCATGAGTGCTCTTGAAATAAGATTTGAGTATTGAATTAAACTCACGCTCACATGATTCACTTCATGGAATTTAATCATAAGTGATTCTGAGACGATAATATCATATAGTCTTTAAACATAGAAATATGTATTGTTGTTTACAAGTTGGTTATGCATTAATAATGTGTAAACGCATCAGTAACTTGATGTTATAAAACGCACTTGTATGTACAATTTGATGAGTAAATAGTACAAGCATATAAGTCGAAGTTTATCTGTTCCTTTTATCCTATGAGGGTAAAAGCATATCTTGGGCCCTTAGATGATTTGTTTTGACTTATGTGTCGGGCCCGGTCAGGACTAAATTGATTTGTTCAATTAAGTTCTATGTCAAACAAATCAGAGAACGAGAAACAAACTGATGGACAATAAGTATGACTATATTCCATGTAATTGTCCACACGATATCTTGAGAACGGAGGACTATACGATCCCTTATCTAAAGGACGTGTCAGAGTTTGATAGTGGCGTTTGAGAGCTATGATTTGTAATCGGATTTTGAAGTTGTACTTGCATTTATAGTTATTATACTTATCCAAGTGGAAGACTATTGGATTCTGTGTCTAAGCCCATAACTATATTTGGTATGTACTTGACCCGATGGTAGCATGGTCCTTTTGGGTTCCCTTCACCAAAGCAACTCGATTGGATGAATAATGGAGAAAGAGGTTATTATGGTTTATTAATATATTATATGAATAATATATTAAAGGAGAAATCATATTTGTTTAATTAATATTGGTCAAGAATTAATTTAGAATTAATTTTGTGGTCAAAAGAAATTAATTAAACTTGGGGGCCTAATATTGTAATTATAAGATAGTTATAATATGGGCTATGGATCTCTTAAGAAACGGATGGATGATTTTATATGGGATCCCATATAGAAATCGTCCAAGCTAGGGATTCTAAAAGGATCTTGTGGGCTGCTTAGAGCCTAAGCAATCGGATTAGGTCTTAGACTGATACCTTAACTCTACAGCTATATAAGGAACCCATGGTCACTAGAATTCGACGACCAGAAACCCTTAAGAAGAGTTCCAAGAGCTGAAATTACCTTCCCCCCCCCCCCCTAATCTCTCTCTCTCAGATTCTCCAAATTGCATTGGTGTTTGTGATCTATTAGAGGCGCAACATTTGAGGTGCTCAGGTTCTCAAAAGCTCAGGATCTTCAAGCTATAGTTAAAGGTATGTTTCTAACTTGGTTTTAGTTATAGAAATCGATTTTTGTTATATGCTAGATTAGGGTTTGCAAGCCTTGGATAATTATTGCATGTACAACTAGAAACCCAGCTCACGACGTGAGCATTAATTCTCACGATGTGAGAAATCATTTAGACACCTTTCGGAGCTGTAAACACAAATGGCGGGTCTATGAGGTGAGCAGGATCGAGCTTGCTACGTGAGAGGCCAAAGATCAGCCTATAAATAGCCACTTCGACCCTAAGATTCCTTACACCAAATTCTTTTCTCTCTCTCTCTCTCTCTCTCATTTGCTGAAGTTGTTCCGCATCCCGAGCCTGACGATCACGAACTGTTGACCGTTTCTAGTTAGATTCTATCAAATCACGCTACTAATGTGAGTGCATAGTCCCTTTCAAAACATGATTTTAATACAAATATTGATTAAAGTATTAAATATATGTGTGTAGAATATTTTTTATTGCCCGAAATACATGTTAAGAGCATATTTGATAATATAGGATGATTTAGGATACAATGTAAACCCAAATTAATTAAGAGGAATATTGGGTACGAGTGAGACATGCGTGGAGGGTAGAACTTTAAAATATGTCATCAATCCGAGAGCGTGGATTAGACATAGTCATTCGTCCCTAGTCCGACCGTATGGATTTGGCATAGTCATTTGTCATTGATCCGAGAGAACAAATTATAGCTACTCATTTGTCCTTATTCTGAGATTATTGATAGGACATGGTTATTTGTTATTAATCCAGGAGTATGGATTAAAACATAGTCAATTATCCCTACTCCGAGAGTACGGAATGGGAATAGTTATTGATCCGGGAGTATGGATTAGACATACCCGATCCGCAAGTATTGATTAGGTAAAGAGGTAAATTTTAGATCTGATGGTATGGATAGGTAAAGAGATTAATTTTAGTTCCGTGAGTATAGATCGTGTCATTGTGAGGATCGAAGGGGTGGGGTAAAGTTGTTTATATATGGTGGAATTGTGTATTTTGTGAGTTCTAATATGTATATATATAATAACATTGTGGGATTGAAATCCCTATGTACTCACCAGGTTTTCCAACCTGACCCACTCGGTCTATTTGTATGACAGGTATCGATACGAAGCTACTTTACACTAAGAGATTTAAAGGAGATGTAGATCACTAGTGTAAATAAATGTAAGGTTTGTTTATACTTATTTTTCAATATTGACGATGATATCCCAAAATTTTAATGTGAGAAACATACATTTCTTCGGAAATGCTTTCATAATATATTTATCATGTTTTATGGGATCAAATTCCCCAATATATTTCTTTAAAAATATACTCTGATTTTCAAATAAAGCATCAATAAACCGGTCTTTTCTATCTGGTAAATTTGGGGATGTTACATCATACATATGGATTTGTGTGGTGAGAGGTGAGATTTGATGTGTCCAACTCATCAAGCATTATCTCTTAAGTGTACAAGTTATATATATATATATATATATATATGTGTGTGTGTGTGTGTGTGTGTGTGTGTGTATATATATATATATATTCCTAAAGGTTTAAATACTTGTACACAACATTTAAATCATACAATATGATTAAATGTCTAATTATTCTCTTCAAAAATGTTATTTTCATAAAATAATAATTATTCTCTAATTAATTACAAGAGTTGGTTACTTCTTAATAATCATATTAATAATAAATATTTAAAAAGTGACAACTTGTTAAAAGTGTGATCCTATAGTATCATATGTTATTGGAAAACATCGTTCTATAATGATTCTTGAGCATGAGGGTATGAGAAAATAAGTAAAGGATCGGGATAGGACGGGACGGGACGGGACGAGGATCTTGATTCAAAGATAGGATTGAAGAAAGGGACATGGACCCAGGAGAAAGAGTTATGATTCAAAGTTTTTTATATATGGTGTGGCCAATAGGAGAATCAATGTGGGATCTCAATTGATGCTTGTACTCTCCTATACATATCAAATCTATATCACTTAGGTTATGATTAATCTAAGTATCTCTTATTATAAAGATTATTTATGAGATTCTTCTTTGAATCTCATGGATTGCAGTACGTGTAGTATCAAAAAATGAATAACCATTTCAGTGAAAAGGTAAATATGGATAATTTGTGAATAACAAAAGTACGTGCAGTATCGACAAAAAGGGTTAAATATTTGGAAATTATAAGATAGTGATACAACCGTCAAATTGATGGTTGGAGATTGAGGTTAATGAGATTTTGAATAACTTGTTGGTTAGAAACAATACAATCTATATTAACAAATTGAGTAAATGGTGATAGGACAATCAACATAATGCGTGTATAAGATGTTAGATTAGGTGCCTAAGCCCATAACTATAATTGGTATGTACTTGACTCGAAAGTAGCATGGTCCATTTCGGGTTGCATATCATACTACTAGAAAAACAGCCTTTTACGACGCTCATTGCGCGTCGTAAAAGGCTCAGACGACGCGCAAATGCGCTTCAAGGAAGGCCATGTCATAAAGAGAGATGACGCACTTTTGTGCGTCGTCTATAGACGATGCGCAATTACGACGCGCGTTTACGACACGCAATGTGTATCAAGGAAGGCCTTGTCATAAAGGAAGACGACACGCATTCGTGTGTTGTAACCTTATGACACACGTCTTAATGACACGCAATGCGTATCAAGAAAACCTCTGTCAAGAAAGGCCATGTCATAAATGAAGATGACACGCATTTTTGCATATCATAGTTTTAAATGTTTAAAAAAAAATTATTTAAGATTTACTAATTTTCAATTTAAATAATACATTAAAAATCTCATAATACAAAATAAAATACCATAAATAACAAAGATAATTCATTTCACTAATATGTCAAATACAAATAATTATTCCAAAAGTGAGTAAATGTTATAAAAAAAATGAACTCATTTATATACAATTGCATCATCTAGCTTACTATGTGCCAACAACTCTTTGTGTGTTTACTTTTGCTTGAGTCTCGTTTCCTCCGAAGCTTCTAGCCATGCCAAAATATGATATCTTGAGTCTCGTATGAATAGATCGTGCGAAATAGGTCTAGCTTGTATCATTCCAAATAATTCCAATGTTGGTCTCTATACAAGCCAATAATTTGAGAACTTAATTTTACCATTATTTTATAATTAATCAAATAAGAAAACAATAAATACCTTCTGGCATATATGAAAGAGAACAAGATAAACAAGATATGTATCGCCACTTTCAGTTGCCTTAGTTAGGGCTGTATCTTCTTCCCCAGTGCCTAGTAACAAAGGAACCTGGAAAAGTGCTAATTTCCTCCTACTAGTCTGATCTGCATGAGCAGCAACTGCAACATAAGAAATGCTTCTGCACAATTTTAACTGAAAAATCCCAAAAAGGTAGCCATTGACATTTTTTAGTGTACTTTAATCCTATAAAACTTTGAACAAACCTTATCAAGTATGATATATCCTGATAACCACTTCATGCAGAATAAGCCTCAAAAAGAATCAATCCACCAATCAAAACTTGTAAGCTTTTTTAAGTTTTAAGCTCCATATTTCAAGTACGTTGCTATTTTATGCAATTTGATGAAATAACACTTACAAGACAGCCTTGTTCTTGTTGATGATCAAATTTTCAAAAATAAAAATAAAAACCCTCTCCTAACTGTTACTATTTCATCATGTGGAAGAAAGCCAGTTGTAAACAGGTTACAACAACAAAGATATCATGTAAGGTAACAAAACATTGTTCTGCATGCATTTACACACTAAAACGACTAGTAGTATTTACATAATTCCCCCACCATGCCTCAGGCTTAGGCTTTGATTTGGTTTCGTTTGGCCAACAACAATGACAACTATACCCCTACTACTATTACTACTGCTACTACTAAAGGGGCATTAGTTAATACAATAGGTTCCAAAAATATGAGAGAAATAAACAAAATCTTTTAACAAAGGAAATGAGAGATGGGAAGAAATTATGTACACACATACCTCTATATCTTTCTCCATCCATCTCCATGGTGTGGCTCTCATCAAAGACTGAGACTGAGACTCACAGATCCTACTTTGAAGAAAAAAGTAGAAAAACAAATAGGTAAAGAGTGTGTATCAGAATAGATTAAACCAGGTTTTTAGGTTTAATCTATTATGTCATGCTGTATAGATTAAGTCAAATAAAGAACAACCATGTGTCTAGATTAAGCTCGGTCAGTCAAAAGAAATAGAAATAACCCCTTAATCTGGTAAAGCTATATTATATAAGTGTGTATTTCATTGACCTAATAATGCACACACAAGTAACACAACTTACCACAAAGTAGAAAACAAGGCTTTCTTACATATAAACATCCTTGTTACAAGAACACACACACACACAGAAAGACAGCAAACACCTAGTCTGCATTTGTTATAAGGGATGGGACTGGACAAGCTCTTTAGGTCTATTTTCCATGAGATAATGAGAAGGGCATTCATGTCATTTACACAGAGAGAGAAAATTTCCCAACTATTCTACCTTTTTGGTCGGGAGTTACAAAAAATTAGTCCAACCTGTATCTATGCAATATTGCTATGTAGACCTCTCGTGGTGCTCGAATTCTTGATGGTGCTTTCATGACTCATCAACTATGCTTAACAAAAAGATAAGACCTTGTTACAAAAACTCTCAATCAATTGACATTGTGTTATGATAAAAAGATTATGACCCTCCACCTACGCAACAAATCAAACACTTCAGAGTCTAAACACATAACCTAAGAAAAAAAGTCCTGCAGTTTTCACTTTCTTAATAATATTGAGTCCGGTATATGAATGATGAAATCCCTATTTCGTATCAATAATAAACTTCAGATTCAAACAGGACAACTCACTTGTTATATATAATGACAATCAAACTATATCAAACACAAACAAATTAACCAATGCACATGTTAAATGAAAAAAGTAAAGCATATGACAGTAAGCAATTAAAAAAGATAGGAAAAACCTACCCGAGATAGAGAAATAAAGGTTTGGTTCTGCTTCTTAGGTATTATTATAATGGATGAGTGGAGAGACATATATGATTCTGGTTATCCAAACATAATGGGCTCAATTTTTGGGTTGGACAAAAGAAAAGATTGCAAACTTTTTTGTCTGGTCTCAATGGACATCAAAGCAGTCCAAGTAAGCTAACTTCTGTTAATTATTATTTATTATGTGAGGTCAAGTCTTGTCCCATCTATCACCTATTATGTAGTATCAAACACATCATGAAATGAGAGAAGACTAACCTGAACAAAATCAAGATGATTAGATGTACTTTCCATTTCTGAACCCAAATCCTCTATAATTTTCTCCTGAAATGGGAAATAAACAACTAAGCTTATTTTTGGTGATCAAATAAAATATCTATCTATCTATTTCAATTGTGAAGTGTGAAGAAGAAGAAGATCATGATGTCCATGCATAAAGCAGATGTGCACCTGTGAAAGGAGTTCATCATGTATGGTGAGCCCAACAGATCCGATCCTTTCTACACTTTCACTTGGTTCATCTAACTCTTCATCTTGTTGTCTGTTGTACCATACATACAACAATTACATATTATCCACAAATACAGATTTATATATTTCAATTTTTATTATCATTAACACAATCTACTTTGAGCTTTTTTTTTCTTATTCATCTTTAGCATTGTAGCTTCAACTTCTTATTAGGACCTAAATGTTTTCCATTTGGATGACATCGTGGTAAAATTTTTAAAATAAAAATTTATAACACAAAGGAACGAAAGTAGGATGCTATAATAAAAATACATCATCATCCATCCTCGTTTTTTTGGTTAAAAAAACAATTTAAGAGGTTATAAACAGCTGGTAAAGGTAGATCAACCTATTGGATCTGCTTTTTTAGGTATATGTATCAATAAATTATGAGTATAACCTCTTAAATAAAAGCGACATCTGCAAACGACACACACTTAAAATAAAAAGCGCCTTCCGTGTTTGTATTTTTTTATTGGACACTAATTTTAGGGTACGCACAAATACGCGTCCTCTATCCTTCAAATTTTGTGAAACTGACATTATTTTTTAAGGCATGTACAAATGCGCATCCTCTATCAGTGTGTGTTATTGTTTGCGCGTCATTAAAGGGTTGTTTTCTAGTAGTGTCACCAGGACAATTTGAGGATTGATATTTGAGTAAAAGGTTATTTATGATTTATTAATATCTTATAAGTTCTAATATATTAAGATGACATCATATTATTTAATTAGTATTGATCAAGAATTAATTTGGAATTAATTTAGTGATAAAAAGAGACTAATTAAATTAACAAAGACTGATTATGTAAATCAATGATATATATATATATATATATATATATATATATATATGTGTGTGTGTGTGTGTGTGTGTGTGTGTGTGGTTTGGGCTATTGATCCATGATGGGCTAAGTTTACATAAGTTTCCATGAAGAGTTAGCCCACATGAAATATGGATCATAACCCAAAGTGTATGGATTAAGGTTTATCCATGACTCTTGGATTCTTACATATATATACATAACCCCATGGCTAAAACCGGTTACAAACAAGTATTCTTGGAGTTCATAACCAATTTGTGTGCCTATTAATCTCTCTGAAGTCATCCAATTGTTCAAGGGTGTTTTGTGAACCGTTTGAGGCATCACATTTGAGGTGTTAAGTTCTAATAGACCAAATACATCAAGCTACAACAAAGAGGTAATTATTATTACTATATTTTATGATTCAAGCATCAAATCATATCCTATTTGTAGGCTTATGCTTTGAATATTTTATTGCATGTATATCTAGATAAAACATGGATCCAAAGAATTTAGGGTTGTATGTGCACCATAGGATGTTGTAGTATACAAAACCCAACATAAGACCCATTGGGAATAGTTCAATAAAAACACATAGCATCCAAATGTGGACGCAAGAAAATAATAAAATATATTGTTGTAATGTGTATACAAATTATGGATCGAAAAAATATAGGTGTTTCGGAAAGATTCCAAGGATGAAATCTCCTTAAGAGGATAGACTGTAACAACCCAAAAAAATTGAGTATTTCTTATACTCTTTATAGGAAGGATAAAATGATATAGTAGGACACCATTTGGAGAAAATCAACAAAATGTCAAACTAACTAGAACGTGGTGCATCTGATTACTAAAAACGGCGAGTAGACCATATTAAGTCATAGGACACATGATGCATGGGTGTGACACATGGTAGGCGACCAGCGGGGGCATGACACGTCCAAGAGTACAGTGTAATGTGTGTATACATGTTTCAACCCTTATAAATAGCCCAAAAGGTTTTCTTGTGAATTCTTTTGATCGATCGAAACCAAAGTTGGTAAGTGACGATTACGGCTTAGAGACAGAGGTCGTGAGGCCGGTTAGCAAGCTCACAACTATAATATAAGCTAAGGTATCCCCTCAATTCGTTAAAGACGTAATTATAATTACATAAATTTGGTTCATATAGGGTTGATGAAACCCACTATAGTACTTGTTGTAATGTCGTGATTTTTAACATAATTTTTTCTTTCATAAACACTTTTTAATAGAATACGTTATTGGAAGACTTGGTTATTTAATTTCAAACATTTTCAAATCACAACATTACTTCCAAAATCAAAATCATAATTCCAAATCATTTAAAAGTAAATGTTTAAATTGATAAAACATCAAGCGTGTCCAAAATGGTATCAACATAACTATCCAATAAGTAACCCCTCTCACAAAGGCCAAACTCCTAAGGTGCATGCACCAATCATAGGGAACAAAAGAGAAAAGACACAAGCGTCTTCCCCTGCTGAGTGAGTTCATAAAGGTTGCATATAAAACATACAAACTCCAAATGCGTCAATCATTCATTTTACAATGTAGCATAATTTTTAAACTCTAATTCTCCAAAAGGATTACCTCATTTACAGCCTCTAAGTCCCAAAACCCTAGCCACGATACCCTAGTGCCTTGTGTAAGCTTGTGAGACATTTTTTAGAGAAAACTTGTGTATTTGGAGCTTATGGAAGAAGAGGAAGCTAGAGGACTCAAGAAGAAGATAATAGATCTAGAAACTTCACTCCATTTGCATCATTTTTGGGTAAGCAGGTCTCAAACTTTCTTAATGATTTCCTAGATCTCTTCATTTCACTTTTTTGGGGTTTTTGGTCCAAGAATGTTAGCTTTTGGGAAATGGACATCCCAAATGGGAATTCTTCCAGATCTAGGACCTTGGAGGGTTGTCATGGCATAAATGTGCAAACTTTATGGCCATTGGAGCCCCATGCAAGCTCTAAGATGTCATTTTGGCCTTTTAAGCCCTAAAAAGCCATGGATGGAGATAAAGGCATAAAATTTACGTGTTCAAATGGTGTCTAGGGTCTAGATCTCAGTTTTTATTCCTTAGTTTGAAGTATATAATGCTTTTGGATCAAGATTTAGATCTTATAGAATTAGGGTTTGAGCTAAACCCATTAAGGGAAGTTATTAATGTGTAAAGTTGGAAACTTTACCCTTAAAAATGACATTTCCAGTATGAAGATGAAGTATGGACCCTAGATTTGAAGGATAGGAGCTTAATCTTTTAAGATGGCTTAATAGACTAAAGAACTCGTCGAGTCCATAGAGGAACTCGACGAGTTGGGTTGAAATGTCAAGATTCTGTAAAGGGAAAAACTCAACAAGTTCAAGGGTGACTCGACGAGTAGAATAGGAAATTCTCGATATTATGGATGAGAGGAACTCGATGAGTTATGAATGAACTCGATGAGTTAGATCGCGGTTTGTGAGTTTTATGATTTATGGAACTCGATGATTTGATGGGTCAACTCAGCGAGTTAAGTCAACTCGAAACATTGACTTTGACCAAGAGGTTGACTTTGACCAGGGTGTTGACCTTGACTTTGATTTTGACCAAAGTTGACCCTTAAAGGGTTATGAGCATGAAAGGGTAACCAAAGGAATTCTTTATGTGTAAGAGTTCGAGTGGGGCGGATTTCAGAGCCAAGGACAGTTTAGCTACTTCACAGCATTTGAGGTGAGTTACCTTCCAGTAGAAGTGGGTCGAAGGCACTGATGTCGACTCACTAGTAGCTGATTATAGTTGAGATGATTGTCTTTGTGATAATTGTTTGGTATGCCACTATCTGTTATGTTTTATTTGCTAATATGCTATGATATTATGTGATAGTGGTAGGAGGGGTATGATAGTCCCTGGATACTGGTTGAAAGAGACCGAAGGGGTAGGCCAGCACCCATATATGCTAGGCAGTTATCGGTTGAAAGAGACCGAAGGAGTAGGCAAACACCCAGATATGCTAGGCAGTAGGAGAATTATATGTATATGATGGGATATTATGTGGTAGTGGTAGGGGTGAAATAGTCCTTTGATACTGGTTGAAACAGACCGAAAGGGTAGGCCAACATCCAGATATGCTAGGCTCTTACCGGTTGAAAGAGACCGAAGGGATAGGCTAGCACCCAGATAACTTAACTTAGGCGGTTACTGGTTGAAAGAGACCGAAGGGGTAGGCCAACACCCAGATATGCCAGGCAATACTTTATTGTATGGTATGTGGTATAATGGAGGAACTCATTAAGCTTTGTGCTTATGGTTTTCAGTTTTGGTTTCAGGTACTTCCTCTTCGAAGGGAAAGGGTTCGACATAATGGCAGCGCATCACACTACATTTCCGCACTAGAGATCTTTGGGATTGTAACTCTGATATTGTTTTATCAATGATATGTTTTGACTATTGATACTTTGGATTTGATATGTGTTGTTACTATGGTTGTTTCAGACAAATGGTTTTATAATTGTTTTGTTAAAAATGAAATTTTTTGTTGTAATTTTTGGGATGTTACAATGTAAGTTGCTAGTATACTGAGAAAAGTTCTAAGGAACTTGGTATATTATTTAAACAAGTTTGGACAAACTGCTGAGTTAAGAGATGATGCGAGGCTAAAGGCCATAATGGAAATTAATTATTACTAACTAGTTAGGTGGGTACTTCGTGGATTATTTCTCTGGGGTACTTGGCATATTAGTAAAGTTTTATTTGAAATATTTGAAAATGATTTGGGAATTTTTCTTGTTTGAAAAGTATTAAGTTTTAGCTAGTGAAAAACTGATTTTTTTTTTAAATGAAAGAGCAAGCAAAATGTTTTGAAATAATTTTTTTTTAAATTAAATGAAATCTTTCATGACTAATGGTTAGCTAGCTATGATTTATTACACGGATTGTCAAGAAGGATTAATAAAATGTATTTTGCAATTATGAAATATTTGAATGTTTAATTATGCAACATTTTTATTGGTAATGTTCAACTAGTCATCTGCTTGTGATTGGGTCAATAAAAAAACAATGATGATCATGTGTCATACGAGTGACTTGCGGGGCCTTGCCTAGATAATTTGTTCTACAGTAAAGGTCAACGCCAATTGTCACTTTATGTGACCAGCCTAATCTAGTGCGTTTATTTGTCATTGGGTGACCACCCCGGTTAGGGGTGTATATTATTGTCCCTTTATGTGAACAGTCTAATTTGGGGCGTCAACTTGTCATATGTTGTGACCAACCCAATTTCGGGTGGGTGTCAACTTGTCACATGTGGTGACTAACCCAATTTCGGGTGGTGCTTATAGACAATAGACTCAGCAAGTATCTAAGGCTCGGAAAGTCCCAAAAAGATTTGCATTGAGTGAGGAAATGCATTGTTTTATAAATGTATGTCAACTGATACTTTTATCAAATGTTTTTTATAATAATTTTATATCCAAACCCATGTATCTCACAAACCAATGATTGGCTTACGTATTTTGTTTAAATGTCATGTATGCAATGTATTGATTCGAAGCATAGGAGGCTATGCTGAGTCAAATATCAGAGAGTGGATGGATAGAACCTAGATATAGTTTCCATGATATAAGCAACCTTGCAACTTTACTATGGTTTATTTGTATCAATCAAAATACCTAAAATTGACACTTTTACAGATATATTTGTAAATGAATTGCAAATTTGAGGCAAATGAGAACGACAATGTTTGTCGTTGAATGTGTAGTTGCAAGGTCAGCCCATTGTTTTTAATTACCCGGGGCGAGATAAGAATTTTATGCCATTATATATGTATTGTACGATAGAGAAAACGTATATATATATATATATATATATATATATATATATATATATATATATATATATATAAACGATTTATAAAATTAACAATACATTAAATTTTATAATCAAACAAATAATACAAGTAAAAACCTACAAAAATCACCTAAAGCGATATCTTTATGTATTATATTAAGCAAAAATATCTCTTATTTTACAATAACCAATATTTTGTAAAAGAATCATTTTCGATACTTCAAAATTTTAATCAATTCAATCTTTCTTTAGTCATGGTACTTCGAAGATACAATTTCAAAAGCTTCAGTTTTGGAAAACTTCTTTTCATGGAAGCAATCATAATAAGCACAACCAACGATATCATATATGCAACCAAAACATTAGCAAACATATTCATTTTGCATACTCCACTATTCTTGTTTTTCTTTTTGGTTTGTTATTTTAAGCACCTTATGGTTGTTTTCGTAAAAATATATTTAAAACTCAATAAATCTAATTATAAGACCTAAGTAACGAAAGCTACAACTTGAACAAAATTTATGTTTTTTCCAATTTTAAGATGTCGGGGAAAAATCACATAATAAAAAATAAGAATATATTAAACTCTTGTATTATAACAACAATTGAATAAATTTATACCTCTCTACTACCTCAAAAAATCGGATAGTAAAAAAAATAGAAATCATAACTCAAAAGTTCAATAAATAATTAAATGTCTTTATGCTTATTCGTACACATCAAAAAAAACAAGAACACAAAAGTTTAGAAGACAAATTAAACAAAAAAACAAGGAGAATGCAACATATTTCGCTTAAAAAAGAGGTGATATTTATACACTTCTATTGTTAAAAGTCATTCAAGATACTATCATAACTCAAAAGTTCAATAGATAATTAAATGTCTTTATGCGTCCTGATTCACATTAAAAAGCAAAAACACATAAACATTTAGAAGACAAATAAAAAAAAACTAGGAGAATGCAACAAAAATTTTACTTGAATAGATACAAAGCAAATAACAATTTGATTTAAATTAATCATATTATCTATAAAACTTTAACTCTTTTTAACCGAACTCGAATTCAACGTGTAAAGATAAACAAAAACATATAATTTGAAAAGAAATTAGAAATCAAAAGCAAAAAAGAAAAAAGGAAGTAAAGAAAAACTAAAAAAGAACACACCAAAAAGACGAAGAGTGAAGGTATTCAATCATTCAACAAGAAAAATCCAATAGTGACAAGACCTTTATATACTTCTTTAGTTGTCTTCATGTTGTAATGCCTAATCGGAACTCAAACTACGGCATTGAAACTTGAAAAAAATCAAACTCTGACAGCCATGATCGATTGAATGCACACCAAGTTTAAAGAAAGTGATAGAATAGAAATAAGACATCTATTTGATTTAGAATGACAAATTACCAATAAAAATCATATACCACTAAAAGATTTTCAATTTTCAAAGGTGTTACCGGATACCGATTTTGACAATTGCAATTCTCAAGAACTTTGATTATTTGGCGAATGCAATCAGTGAAATTATGCCCCCAGCCGTTGAAACTTCTTGGAGGCAGTTGACTGGACTTAATACTATTGGGCCAACATAATAAATATATTTACTAATACATATCCCATAAAAATTATGATCCTATTTTTCTAATATCTTTGTCTTTGGCCCAACTCATCCATGTATTGGGCCGACTCTTTGCCATTGCATCTCCTCTCAATACTTTTTTCACCATAAACACCGCCCCAAAGTTCATAGACGATGCATGAAGACATAAGTGGAGTATGGTGTCATCGGCACATCGGACCACACCATTCAACGAAAATATTGGAACCCTTTATATTTTATTTCAAAACTCGACTAATACTACTGGCCATATCTCCTCCCTATACCTGTCGAATTTATCATCTAGCTGTTGGTTCCGTCTCTATTTTATAAACAATTAATCCACGCCACTCGGCCACTATCAATCGATACAGACACGTATTTATTGAAATTGACGTTTACAGGATAAAAATTCCCCTTTAGGAAAATCAAAAAGAATGGAAAACAGCAAATGGGTAGCTACGGTGGCGAGCATATGGATCCAATGCAGCTGCGGCGCCTCCTACGCCTTCGGAATCTACTCCGCCGTCCTCAAATCCAGCCAAGGTTATGATCAATCGACTCTCGACACCGTCTCCGTCTTCAAAGATATCGGTGCTAATATCGGAGTTTTATCCGGTCTCCTCTACCACGCCGTCACCAATAACCACCGCGATTCAACGCCGCCGTCGTCTCGTTTCGGATCCGGACTCTCGCTCGTCTACTTGGCTGGTGCGATTCAGTGCTTCGCCGGTTACTTCCTTATGTGGTTGTCCGTTACCGGAGTTATCGATAGGCCGCATGTCCTGTTTATGTGCCTCTTCATGTTTATGGCGGCACACGCACAGACTTTCTTCAACACCGCAAATGTCGTCGTCGCCGTCCGGAACTTTCCCGATTACGGTGGAACAACCGTCGGCATTATGAAGGTAATTCATTCAATTTCTGTTTTTGATTGTTATTAATCGGTATTTTACTCCGCTCACATCATTTTACAAAAACTCCGATTAAATCGTTACGTTAGATTCCAAATTTCGATGATCTGTGAATGTTTTTAGTAGAATTTTCTCTCAATCGCAAGAAGTTAAAAGCAATTAAGATAAACATAGGACACATGAATGATGAATCAAACTTATCCAAAGATTCAAATCAAATGCAGTGGACAGTTGTACCATATATTTTTAAGTTTCATCACTGTATATGTTTAAAATATTCTCAACGTACAAATTTTCATCCACTATTTAACCAAATCTACTCATATTTTAATCAATCAGGGGTTTCTTGGATTAAGCGGAGCTATCCTAATTCAGATCTACCAAACTCTATTTTATGGCAAACCAACAACCTTCTTACTGATGCTTGCTTTATTTCCAACCATCGTCTCTCTACTATTCATGAATTTCGTTCACGAAAACCCCTCAAACACAACTCACGACAAACACCATCTAAACAACTTCTCACTAATCGCACTCGCCATAGCCACATACCTAATGATCATCCTCATCTTCCAAAACATCTTCATCTTCCCATCATGGGCTCACTTCCTCACAACCATAATTCTTCTCATCCTCATCTCCTCACCTCTTCAAATCGCACTCACAGCTCAAAGAAACGAACAACAGGAATCATCAACCTCACCAACAATAACCCCATTGATTGTCGCTTCAGAAGCTCAGGTGGATTCACATTCAGTAGTTGAAATGAACCTGATACAAGCAATGAGCACAGTCAACTTCTGGCTCCTATTTCTAGCCATGATTTGTGCAATGGGATCAGGGTTAGCGACAATCAACAACATATCTCAAATAGGCGAGTCTCTTAACTACTCAAAAGTTAAAATCAACACAATGGTGTCTCTATGGAGTATATGGAACTTTCTCGGAAGATTCGGAGGTGGATTTGTATCTGATTTGATTCTACACAAATACAGTTGGGGGAGACCACTGTTCATCTCTCTTACACTAGCAGCAATGGTGATTGGGCATTTGATCATAGCATTAGGTGGGAGTTTATACTTTGGTTCAGTGATTGTAGGGGTTTGTTATGGAGCACAGTGGTCTTTAATGCCTACGATTACTTCTGAAATATTTGGGGTGAAACATATGGGGACGATTTTTAATACGATTGCTGCAGCTAATCCTGTTGGATCTTATATATTTTCTGTGAGAGTGATTGGGAGTATTTATGATAAAGAAGCAAGAGAAGAAGGGGGTTTGTGTTTTGGGACTCATTGCTTTATGGTTTCGTTTTTTGTGTTTGCTGGGGTTTGTGTTTTTGGGATGTTTGTTTCATTGGTGTTGTTTTTTAGGACAAAGGGGTTTTATGTGTTGCTTATGGAAAGAAGGTCGAAGCACCTTGAGTAATATGACTCGAGAAGATGTTTGAATTGTACAGGAGTTTTGAGTATTTGTAAATTGTTTGTAGATTTGTGTTAAGTGCAAAATATATAGAAAATGTATTTGAGTTTCGTGATTTTAGGTAAATGGTAAGTAAAATGATCGGGCGAGTTGAAATATGTAAATGTTTTAAGGATTGTTTTTGAGTTTATTCGTTAAAGGGGAATGAGTGAATAAATAGTCATTGCTATTTAGTTTATGTAATTATTCATTTTTTTAATATCGATTGATGGTGTAATTTGCACGTTTTCATTTTTTTAATATCGTTTGATGGTGTAATTTGCACGAGATTTTAAATCAACGAGTTGGCTCTGTCTCTTTTACTTTACTTTACCTATTTTTTTTATTTTTTTTTTTTACTTTACCTATTTTTTTTATTTTTTTTTAGTGGGAAGTGGGATGTCTTATTTGTAAACAGTTAAGACTCACAATCATCTAATTTTCCTCTTAATTTTCCTTTTCTCCTATTTTATGGGACTTGGATTTTATTGTTGCTGTATTCTTTGAACAGAAAATATATATATATATATATATATATATATATATATATATATATATATATATATATATATATATATATATATATATATATATTACATTTAATCTTTTATGGGAGCTGAGGGTGTTTGGATAGGAAATTGCTTGTCCAGTTTACATAATTAAACTGAGTCCAATTAATTAATCAGAGAAAAAATATTACTTTTAATCTTTTATGGGCTATTAAAAATAAAATAAAAGTAAATGATAAAATTCTTTTTTATTTTTTCATTATGATGGGTGCCAAGGTTGGAAGAAGAGATGGTTTTGGCGCAGATAATGGCGTCGGTGGTTGGATTTCATGTGTATTGACAACTTGTTTTAACTATTGCAACTATATCTTAAAAGATAACGTTAACGTTCTAAAGCTTAGAAATTATTATTTTTTATTGCACTACTTAGTTCTCAGTGAATGTTAATAGGTTTTAAGAGTTCTAAATAAACTTTCGTGATGAAGTTAATAAGCGTAAAGGATTTATGTGTTTATGGTTTCTTGAGTCTAGAATCGCAATTTTGACTTGCGGACTTTTTGTCAACTTGAGGTTGATGATGAATTATATAAAATTGACATGTAATATGTTAATAGAGGATGAAGTGTAAGTTCAATGTGAAAAGATGATGAATTTTAGTAATGTCATTTGTGTTATGTCATTCCTGTCCATGGAAAGACTCGTGGAACATAGGTGTAAATACTTGACAATTTGGAAATTTGAATATGATCGTGATATTTTAACAATTCAAGTAGATGTTAATATTGACAAGTTGGTTATACCCGTTAAATAATACTTTTAGAAGTTACATATAAAGAAAGATATGCAAGTTACCATTTAGACAAAATAGAGATGTCAAGGGTGGCAAACAAAACGGAGATTGCATCCCTTACTCCTACCCCCAAAATTCATCCGTTACCCCGCCTCTAAATTCCCCTTACCTTCGTCTTTGGTTAATTTTGGATTGTGTTTTTGAACTAAAAGAAATTATTTTTTAAGTAATACATACTTATTTATAATAGAATTTTACATGTTAAAAACAAAAATACAATAATATCTCAAAAACATTATACTAACATTTAAAAACATGTTTATTTATATATTTTTTTGTTGAATTTTGATAGCTCAAAATCATGTTATTATTTATTTATATATATATATATATATATATATATATATATATATATATATATATATATATATATATATATATATATATATATATAAATCTGGTAAAAAAAAATTTTGGTAGGAAGGTAAGAAAATTTTTTCAGCTTAATTTTTTGACGAATAAAATAAATGAATCATTATATGAATCAATAATAACATGGTTCACAAAAAAAAAATCCCGAAAAAAAATTTCAATGATTCATTTTTACGATGATTTTGTTGATATTCACTAAAATTGTCATAAAAGTGAATTTTTTTTCTTGATTTACCTAAAAATGAATCATAAAATTGTTTTTTCCGGATTTTTTTCTTGTGAATCATTTTACTTTTGAATCATCTAATGATTCATTTCATTTTTTCTTAAGAAAATATGTATATAAAATATTTCTTACCTTCCTACCAAATATTTCTTTCTTATTTGATCTTCACTATATATATATATATATATATATATATATTATATATATATATATATATATATATATATATATATATATATATATATATAATTTTTTTTAATTAGGGCCTTATGGGGGTTTAGGAACAACTGCCCACACCCGCCCCAAAATTAAAACGCGGGTTAACATTCATCTAGCCCAAGCCTCCATTCCGGTTTTTTTTTATTAAAACAAATACCATGGAATTTGCTATTTAGGTCATTTATCTTTAGTTGTATTCAATAGGCCACTAAACTCTTTTTGGGGTCCTCATTATACTGCTATAGTGTATTTTAATTAGGAAATTATGCCATATCTGATGCCACCTAAATGAATAAATACCGTCATATTAAATGTCACAGTGGAGACCATGTAAAAGTAAATGTCGATTTAGTAGGCTTGATTTATCTAATGGTGTATGAGAACTACGACCAAAAAATTTTAGTGGCCAATTGGATATAATTAAAAGATAAATTTTAGAAAAAAAAAATACTATTAATATTGGATGCTATTTAATAACATTAACCATTTTTTAATCATTTTAGTTTTGGCATGTGGAATATACGAGAAGGAAATTGTACTAAGATGGTTTTATATGTTTATATTTCTATGGAAGTAGATTTAAAAGATTGAAAACAGACTATGAAATAATGAATTTTTTTGGAAATTTAATATGTAATTAGAAACTTGTTATGATACATGACTTGAAAGATATGTTAAATATGTTTAAAATATATTACAAACAGTAGCATATTGACTATTTTTTGGACTCTCAAAACGACTTCTCTACTACGTATCCCCGAATATGATATGTTAAGGTCAAAAATATTAACTTATTTATATAATTTTGCCACCATGAAAAACCCGTCGCATATGTCTCACGGATACGTTGCATAAAGTGAATGTCTTCGAGGATTATGAATCATCTGATGTGGCACAAGATGCGTAGGGAAGCTTGAAGTGACATATAACTCGTCAACATTCGTTTTTTTGGCTTCTTTGAATTCATTCTAGTTTTAGCCACTTTTGGTTCCTTTTTACTCAGCAATGTATTCTATTTGCGAAATTACAACTATGATCTAACATCCGAGATTCGTGAAAAATTTAAAATTTTAAAATAACCTATCAATTCTTTTATATATATATATATATATATATATATATATAATATATATATATATATATATATATATATATATATATATATATATATATATATATATATATATATATATAACTTAGCCGCTAAGCAATCCAAAGATCCTCCTAGATATTAGGCTTGGACGATTTTAAGATATCCAATCCCTAAAAATCGTCCACCCTTATATCCATAAGGATTCATAGCCCAAAACACAACTATCACACATTTGACAATTTATGTCATTTTATTCAATTAATCTCTTTAAGTCACCAAATTAATTCTTAATTAATATATGACTTATATTAATCAAATAATATTATTATTCCTTTAATATATTATTCTCATAATATATTAACAATAATATCTCTTCTCTCTTTACAAATCATCTTGCCAAGTTGCTATGGTGAAGGCAACCCAAAAGGATCATGCACAACTGGGTCAAGTACTTATCAAATATAGTTACAGCCTTACACACTAATCCAACATCATTGTCATCCTCAGACATATATCCTAGATCGGAGCTGCTACCTCCTTGCGGCTCAGGGCATCGGCCTCTACGTTGGCCTTGCCCGGGTGGTAAAGGATCTCGCAGTCGTAATCCTTAACCACATCTAACCACCGACGTTGCCTCACGTTTAGACTCGGCTGATCCATGAGGTACCTCAAACTCTTGTGGTCCGTGTAGATATTACACCGGACCCCGTAGAGGTAATGCCGCCAAATCTTGAGGGCGAACACCACCGCCCCCAGCTCTAAATCATGTGTCGGGTAGTTAGCATCGTGAGCCTTCAACTGTCTCGAGGAATAAGTTATCACATGCTCCTGTTGCATCAACATTGCTCCCATACTTTTGATCGAAGCGTCACAGTACACTAAAAAATCATTTATTCCCTCTGACAGGGTGAGAATCGGCGCCTCGCATAGTCGCTGCCTGAGCATCTCAAAGGCTGTCTGCTGCTCAGGGCCCCAACGAGACACCACCGACTTCTTGGTCATTCAGGTTAGCGAAACTGCTATCTTGGAGAAATCCTAGATAAATCTTCTGTAATACCCTGCCAAACTCAGGAAGCTCCGAATCTCGGATGGAGACCTCGGGACCTCCCACTGCATCACAACCTCTATCTTGTCTGAGTCAACTAATATACCCTTCTGGTTGATGAGGTGTCCCAGAAATTGAACCTCGCGCAACCAAAACTCGTACTTGGAGAACTTTACGAAATGTCTCTCCCTCCTAAAGGTCTCTAGCACCTCTCTCAAGTGCTCCTCATGCTGCTCCTGAGTCTTTGAATAAACCAAGATGTCATTAATGAATACTATCATAGAATGATCCAACATCGGTTCGCACATGCAGTTCATGAGGTCCAGGAATGCGTCTGGAGCGTTGGTGAGCACAAACGACATCCGGTGATATCCGGACCGCAAATCAATCTTAGAAAACCAAGATACTCCCTGAAGCTGGTCGAACAAATCATCTATTGTAACGTCCCGTCTATGGTATGTTGTTTTTATATTATTTATTTAGAAGTTTGTAGAGGGACTCGGCGAGTCTATTGCCCGACTCGTCGAGTAGAGATGGGATCTTGAGTAGCGTTTAGATCGGCGACTCGGCGAGTCCGCCTGCCAGGTAGAAACCCTAAATCTCCGGGTTTGCACCCTATTTAAACCATCATATGAGCCCCCAAACTCATCTCCTTCACCCTCAAAGCATCATTTAGCAAACCCTAACCATTCCCTTGAGTATTTGAGCATTTTTTGTGTGAATCTTGAAGTTTTGAAGAGAAGAAAGAGGCTAGATCCAAAGGAGAAGAAGAAGATCCAAGGTCTTGCACCCATTTCAGAGTTTATTGAGGTAATAATCGGATTCCTTCTGTTTCTATGATTGATTCTCCTTTATAAGCATATTTAGCCCATTTTATCCATTCCTTAGCTTGTTCATAGTAGAGAAATCATATTAGATTGATTAGCCT